AGGAAGGAAGGAAGGAAGGAAGGAAGGAAGGAAGGAAGGAAGGAAGGGCTTTCAGCTGTGCATAACTGGATTCTTAATTATCTATTGTCAAGAGGCTTTATTGGTATTAGTGAAAAGATTGACATGTTTTAGCCAACTGGGGACCAATAATTCGCTAAATAATATAAACTTACCGAGCTGAAATTTTTCTGGTTTTCTTTAACTCGTATTATTTCTGGTGTTTCATTTACAACGGTGACTTTTCCCTTACTGTCCTGCAGATCATGTTGATACTGAAGCTGTTAAGAGAATACATGTTTTTCAGTGCATTAATGTCAAAACAGATTTCTGCTTGGCCTTCACCAGTACAGGCCATTCATTGCTCCCTGAGTGCAAGAACAGATGACATCTTCCTCCTCCCCCTCTTCGCTCTCTGCAAATGCCCCCTGCACCTTAGTTTCCCAGCTTTGATTCCAACCTGAGCCTTCTGAAGTCCTTGAGAACAGGTGGCTTCCAGAGCTTTATTCCACTTCAGGAGCAGCCCAGCTCTGATTGGCTGCAGTGCATAGCGCATCCCTGCTCACCAGTGGCTCACATTTGTCCTGTGCAGCCATTTTGTTGGGAATAACCCCACAAAGGAAAGAGGAGGCACTGGTAGAGTGGTCCACTGAGAACCAGGCAAGAAGCCCTTCCTTCCTTGCACAGATAAGAAAGTCAAGAAACAGAGGAAAGACACATCTGGCCATAATCTCTGGACTGAGTACAAGCACAACCCCATTGCCAACCCAATGTAATCTAGATTGGAATTTCTGAAGTTGATTTAAGAAACAGCCTGAGAGACAAAAACTTATTGCTGCTGTGCGGAATTGCTCCAAGAAGAACTCAGACTTCTTGCTTCCAGACTGACTTTTTAAAATGTTAGTAATAGCAATAGGATTTATGTACCGTTTCATAGTGCTTTGTAGTGTTATAGAACGGACAAAGATATATGACAAATATATTTACGGGAGCATGAACCAAGGTCCTTCAAAATATAGTATCAAATGTAGTCAAATATTGGTAAGCTATTAAGTATCCTGCATTCATGAATTCATGAATTATTTGACAAATTCTATTAAGTTATTTGTAACTAAGCCTCCCAATCTCAGTTAGACTTGTTTTCAAAATAACCAAGACGGGCTTAATTATTATAGGGAAAATTTAAGTTTCTTGCTCAGCAAAACAATAATCAAGAATGTACCTTAGAAAGAGTGGTAAGTATCTCTGAAAAATATCTGGAATCTACATGAACAGCATCACTGACAATTGTGAGCATGGGACTTTGCCATCATGGTCAGAACAGCATCAGACATGCTTCTGGTAAGGTACGAGCAACCTATTTATTGGCTAAGGCTCAAAACATTTCAGACACAAAACGTTTTCTACCCACTAGGCTTAATATCTAAGATAGGAAAGAAAAATTGCCTTTCCGGGGAACGTTGTTTGCTTGCTTGCTTTGTTGGAATTCATGACTCTATGTATACCTACCATGCTAAAATTCTTTTGATTTTCTCGGACCCGCTGATTTTCTGGAGTCTCCAGCACGGACACATAGTATGGCATGGTTTTCTCTGCGTCCTCCTTATACTTTTTCTGTTACGTAGGTTAAAAGAAAAAAGAAAATGTACCATTGCAGTAGCAAAACAAAAATTATAACTTTGTAAATACCCATACAAAGACAGATAAATTTTTTTTTGTGATCTAGGGGACAATAGCAAAGTCACCACAGAAATACAACAAACTCTATCCAGAGTTCTCACTTGAGGCCCAAACAGCCAGGCTCACATTATCAAACTTTGGACATACTATGGGAAGTCTTTCTCTCTGGAGAAGGCTCTGATGCTGAGAAAGATGAAGGGAAAAAGAAGACGGGGACGATCAGAAGCAAGGTTGATTGATCATTTACACTTGTGAAAACATGCACTATTGGAAGTCCTGAAGTCCAGGTTAGGGAACAGATCATCATGGAGAATATCTATTTATGTGGTCATTAAGGGTCACCACCAACCTGATGGCACGTAATCAATCAGTCCATTTTCAATGTCTAAGACAGACATGCTTTCAAAATAAGAGCAGATGCGTGATAAACATTGCATACCAATATCATAAGGACATTTATTAGAAGGCTTGATGGTTTGGGTTTGTACTTTCTAGATTGCATCTGTCAAATGTGATCTAGTCCATAGATCGAGCAAGCTAAATTCTCTTTTTTTAAAGAAAGTATTTCCTTCTAAGAGGAGAAGCCAAAACAGTGGCATTACCTGTTAACTTTAGAAACAAAGACATTCAGGTCATAGATTTTATGACTTAAGTATTCATTTGAGAAGTATTCATTAGACTTGGCCAAAAGGGTTAGTTGTCAGAAGTGGATTTTTAAAAATGGGGGAAGTTAAAAGCCACAGATTTTGGAAGATTGGGTTTTTAGTATTTTTAGGAAGTTGTTAAGTGCTAACGAAGAATGAAACTCATTTACCAAACGCTTTTCTGCTAAAAGAATAAATTAATGAGAAATTGTATTTTTGATTCTTGGCAGTTGACTGAAAAAATTCAGCGATACTCTAAAGGCATAAAAAGACATTTTAGGGGCATGTGATCTGTGGCCGCCATCCCGCTTTGAAATCTATATGAATTTCCCCTTTAATTACTAGTAGTTTTCTTCTATATTTAAATGGTTGCAAAAATGAATGCAAAGTCACCAGTGAAAGTGAAAACCAGAGCAAAATGTCCAACAGTGTAGAATACCTCACACTTATTGGAAGGACTTATGGTGTTCTCTCAAGGTCACACAGACAGAGGCCTATTTCAGATGGTCTCTGTATCACATTATTTATCATGCTGGTTAAGGCTTTTGGAAGTTGGAGTTCACCTCCATTTGCAGAGCCATCATTACCTTACTGGAAAAGTTCTTCACATGATGTGCATGGATGATTTCTGGAGTGTCAACAACTGTGGTATAATTGGCTTTTTCCATTTCTGCAGAGTGCTTATACTTAAGCTGTTGAGAGAAACATCTCAGGGGAATTATCCAGAATAATCAATTTACAGATGTAGCTTTTTCTTGATTTAATACAGTAGGAAATTAAATTCATTAATCACTAACCTCACTAGCAATATCTGTGGCATTCTTTGCCCTCATATAATCAGGTGTCTCCAATGCAAGGTCTGTTAGTCCTCTTCCTTTGATTTCCATCTCCAGAGCTTTCTTGTATTCTTTCTGTGGATAAAGACAGGAAAGTAAAATAATTCAATGTATGAAGGGTCAATTCAAAACCAATGATTAAATGTACTATTGGCCCCATTTTCTATTTTTTAAAATTATTTTTAATAAGATAAAATAATTTTTAAATGCACAACCATGAAAATAATCTAGTTCCTATTTTAATATGACTGTGTAATTCATAGATCCATTCATGAATAGTCCTGTGATGTGCCAATTAGAGAAACCGGATGCCAAAAATGCATAAATTCACGGAAATTGTGCACAGATTAAAAAAGAAAAAGAAAGAGGGCTTTAAAATGTGTGGGAGAAAGTTATCTTCATCATCCTGCTAGAATATATCTGGATCATTGCTTATTTGCTACATGAACTGCTGTTATCGGAGCCAAAAGAAGTTGGTTGTTGTGTCTTTTGATTGTTGGGGAGAACTTGTTTTCTATCTGCCTCAGAAGTGCCCTAGGAAGTTCTGACACATTTTTCGCCTCCTTAATGTGTCACTGTTGGCAGTTGGAAAGTATAAGGTAATGGCTGTTCTCCTTGAGATTAGAGAAGATGTTAACCATTGTTAAAAACACTGTTGGTACTAAATATTTCAAAATGGATCTGGCTGAAAACAGAGTATTTTAGTTGCAAGATCATGGGAATTCAATGGGACCAGGAAGACCATCCATATTCAGGATAAAGAATGCCTTTGGAATGTCATTCTTGATGGGCTACAGAGAAAGACCAGTTGGTTTACTATGTATGGTTAACTGAACTTTAAAAAAAAGTATCAAACTTTTTGAGATTTTACCAAGGAAATCTGACAATGAAAAAAAAAAGATTAAAAATGTGAGAACTATTGCTCATGAGAAGAATCTTCAATATCTTATTGGGTTTCAGCCATCTTTGCTTTCAACTTATCAAATGTTACTCAGAAAAAATTTATAAAGGAAATTCAAAGAACAACTCTTGAAGTGACTTTTATTTCTTCAAGAAATTATCACTACAAATCTGGGAAGTGACTATTCATTATGATGATTTTCCATTTGATTGGTATAAAAACTAGATTGGATTTTTGTCTCCTTATATTTTGTCCCCTGTTTTATGAGGAGTCCGTAATAAATTTTTTTCACACAAATCCCTGCCTTTATTTTTTTTTATGAAACAAACATCAAGTTTATTCCAAAACCAAGCAATCTGTTCCCATTCTAGATCTATTTTCTTAATAAATGTGGAAGTTAGATTTTATGAGCTACTTTATGAGTAAATCACAGAATACAGACTGGATTTAAACAGGGCCATCAAACTTCTGACAATATTGGTTTTTCAATAAATGTTCTTCCTTTAACCCTAAAGCATCCATCAACTATCAAGCATCCGTCAACAATCACTCTGGGGAGTAAGAAAGCCTTCATTTATTTCGGGTCACCAAAAAGTTTTTATAGTTTGGATATAATTTATTAATGTTTAAATCATAGTTGATTATTAATAGAATGCTTTCCTTTCCCTGGGTTAAATCTCTTATCAAAATGCTTTCTTTTTTTCTTTTGCTTTAGAACTGCTGGCCTGCATAATCAGAAAGTTTGAAGTTATCAATAAATTACAAGATAAGGGGAAAAATAATATTATTTGTCTATATTTGAATTTGTCTTTTTTGACAAGAGAAATAAAGAAGACTTTCAAAAATATGATTTGTTCCTTGAAGTTCTTATAAGTTCTTTCTTGTAATATAACTTCCTTATTTCCTTTCCCTATCAGTTTTGTATTGATCCTTAATATTGTTCAAAGCATTTTTACACTTAGTTTGTGTAATTTAAAATAATCCAAATACTTAGAAACTGAAATTGAAAAATGTCCTTCCTCTGTCTGAATACATGCTGGACACAAGACTATGAAATGGACAGACCAGTACTAAGCATTTTAATACTCCATAGAAATCTACCTTCCAGATTCCTAAACTTTATTCCAGTTTTACCTTACCTCATTCAAGATATAGGTTGCATTCTTTGCTCTCAGTAAATCTGGTGTCTCTTCGAGAATGGTTAGACCTTTGCCTTTTACACCTTCTTCTAAATCTCTCCTGTATTCTTTCTAAAGGGTAGAAAACAAGAAAATAAATCAAAAGAGGTAAGTAAGTAGGAGACAAAGAGAAACCAATGAGAGGAAAAAAGATAAAAGCAGAACCACCAAGCACCTGTGATTCTGGCTAGCTGACCAAATTGAGTGGAGAGTGAGATATATTTTTACCTTGTTTCCTAAAGAGTTAGGAAATGATTCCTAGAGTAAATAGTTGTTTTTGCTTTCCAAACATGCATACCTTGCTACACTGACTCTCCCTAAAAAATTCACACAAAGGTGTATACAATGAGACAATTCTCATTGGTTCCACCAATATAACAAATTTTTAAAAGATACAGAAAAAAAAACTGTGCATCACTGTCAGTTAAATCATGCTTATAATTAAAGTTAAAATAAATAAAAATAAAAAATTAACTTTTAAATTTAAAATTAAAGTTTAAGCATGGCAAAGACAACAGTGAAGGGTCTACTTTGGGGAACATAATTTCCACTGCAGAAATCAGAAGAGTAGTTGGTACCTCGCTTGCTATTTTAGTGGCATATTTGACGTGCAGTAAAGATGGTGTAACCTCCAAACCGGTAAGATTCCGGCCCTTAATGGACTCTTCAAAATCTTTCTTATATTCTTTCTAATAGGAGTTGGAAGAAGAAGGGAGAAGAAAGAAGGAAAGAAAGGGGGGGGGGGGAAACATAATTAATTTTGGCATTGTAAAAATAATTTCCAGGCAGTTTAAAATTGGGTCCATAATAGTTATGGATCCAATTTTGCTTTTGTGTCATTTGGGAGAGGTTTTAATGCTTTTCATTGTCCTAACCTATGATGAATTAATATTTCAGGTACTTGCAAGCAATAGTAGCTACATCTGGCCTTTAGACAAGCAAAATTTCTACATTGTAGTATCTGGAGAGCAGGTTGTACAAAAAGGGCAGTGTTCTGGACTAGCAGGCTCATAGCCTGCAAATCTGATTGGCCCGCTGAAAGCCGATCGTGATTGGTCGCCATAGACTGATGCGATTGGCCAGTAAACGGGCTGCCGCGATTGGCCCTGCCAAGAGCGGCAAACTCAAGTCGCCTTCATTGGCTGCCTAGCCGCAGCCAGCCCTATATAAGGGGCTGCTGCGGCTGGGGTTAGTTGCTCAGATCTGAAGTCACAAATAAAGAGCTGTTGTTGCTATCTGAGTCTTGCCTCCGTTCTTGAACCGTCCTCCCAGATTTAACAGGCAGAATGATCATTGGTCAGGTATTGGTCTTAGCAACCCAGTGCCAAAAAAATGTGTGGAACGACACGTCCAGTAGTTCTCACTCAATACGCTTGGGATGATGGGAGTTCCGATCTAACACATTAGAACGTATTAGAAAACACCAGTAACACCAGGAAATTTGTTCCAGTTAGCATACTTGGTCCAGGGAAGTTTAAAAAAAAGTGAGCAACTCCATAGATCATGCATTTGGATAGTGTATTTCATTTGAATGAAAAAAAATCGACAGAATCAAACAAGATACTCAAGTTTCCCCTTGCATAAATTTGATATTGGAATGAACATATTTCAATAATTCAACCATATTTTGAAATGCCTATGAAAGTGTATGAAAGGGATAAAATTGAATAGAGGCAAGAATATACAGTCTAGAAGCCCAGAAAAGGAGCAACTGATTCTCAAAACAAAACAATGGGAACAAAATTGTATAGATGTAGATTGAGGTTGGGGAATGGGCAGAGGGGCTGGGCTTTTATTTGGCACCATAAAATAAGCTGTGATGGTCATTTAATCAGTGAACAAAAAGATATGATCATTCTGTTGCAAAAATACCTTCAGAATACATTTATGATTTAAACTGGACTAGAAACAATACAACCGCAATTCAGTGTCTCGCTGATGGTTTCTAATATCTGCTGAGTAACCTCCTACCTCACTCTGCATCTGTTGGGCTTCCTTAGCAGTGATATATGTAGGTGTTTCAAAGTCCAGCATGGGTTTTCCTCTTTCCTTTTCATATTTTTCCTTGTATTTCACCTGTCAAGAGGGTGGCATGTGTTATCCCACAGTAGCAGATTAAAAAAACACATACAGAATGATACATCGTTCACTCAGCCTAATCCCAGATGAACAAAACACAATTGCTATGGTCGTATAACATGCTATGTCAAAATAGATTTATTTTTTATTGATAAATGTGTTAATCCCATCAGTCAAGGTGACTCTAGCCAGGGAACTAAAGCAACAGCCACAACCAATAGAATTGCACAACAATATTTAGGCACTACTGATTAAACAGTATTTCAATGAAACTGTTTCAATGAATTGGTTACTGAATAAGACTGCATTGTTCAAAATCAAACCTATCCAAGTTGAATGGATCCGTGTCTTTTATGTCTCGTTTACATATTCCAAAAATGGAAGTCACGACTATAACAGGTGAAACAGTTTGCATACTCTTTCAGTCAGCAATTTGTAAAGCCTTCTTTGGCAGATAAACAGCTTTTCAAATGTTTCTTGCCACTAACTGAAAATATCTATTTTTGCTTTTCACTACTTTGCTTTGCAAGAAGTATTATAGCTCAGAAATATTCTTAGGTCTGTCTCATGCACCACATGTTTAAAATCTTCCCACAGACTTTCAGTAATATTCAGTAATACTCAGTTTTGAGAGCTGTGAAGAACACTCCAAAACACTTTATAGGAATAAACACTTTATTGTTTATTATGTTTTGTTGCCTTGTTAATTATCTGATCTCCTTTCAGTTTAATTACTGAATATGGGACATTGGTTTTGATGATATGTGGTTCAATCCCATCTTCCTTCACCTGCACAATATTTCCTAATCTACTAGTGCCACGAAATGCCATAGCATAATAGATATCTTCAACTTTAGTGACCTAGTGGATACATTTAAAATTTTGAGATCACTTCATGGTCATTCTTACAAAGTAGTCCTCGTGGGAAACAGAGTTACAAAACATCTCCTGTAGGTGTCCTCGTGATGTTGTCTATCACACAGCTTACTTTTAACATTCTCTTTGGCAAGTAATCACATTTTCAAACAAAGTACTGTTCTACAACCTTTCACTTTTTGTATTTTCAAAGCTTATATTTTAGGTGTGTAAGGAATCCAGAAGTATTTTGGAAATAAATCTGATGTTTAAGACTATGGTTTGCTTTACAATATGACACCTTTAAAATCTAATAGGATTAGGTGGACATGGAGCCTGCTGGAAGTGTTTATTTTATTTTATGTATGTATGTGTTTGTTTGTTTGTTAAATTTAGGCAATGCTCATCTCATTGCAGTATCTATGGTAAGTGATGGTTACTAGCACTTTGGTATCCCATATTAAAATCCAGAAATATCTGGCTGGATGCACATATATTATTTACGTTTCTGGCTTATTAAGAAATACAGAAGCATCATATTTCCCAGAATAAAACTTGAATGATACCCATGGCTTATGATGAGGGGGAAATTCCAGAGGAAGTCAATTTAAATCACAGAAAAGGTTTCCAGGGTAGTTTCCAGTTCCTACTGACGAGCCAAATGTACCAAATCTACCCCTGCATACTTAATATGCCAAAAGTCTATAGAACTCTGACATGTTTTGGATGAGAATACAGATACAGCAGCATGTGGCAGTTGTCTTATAAACATAGATCGTGTGAAACACTTAACTGACTTACTATGCTCTGAAGTTCTGAGGCCTCCTTTAGATGGAGCTGTTCGAGGTTATCTGGAATCACGTGGTAGTGACCTTTATTCCTCTCGTACTGCTTCTTGTACTGGTACTAAAGGGAAGGTGTCAAAAACCACCTCAATAGTTAAAAAATGTCCTAACCAGAGCAGCTTTTCTAGATCACCTTACAAAAAACATATCAGTAGTCAAATAAGACATCAGAAATGAAATATAAAAGAAATATATAAAAAGAGAAGAAGAAAGAAAAATATGAGGCAAAAAGGGACCAAATTACAAAACAGGAACAAAAAGAAGAAGAAAAAGAATCAAAGAAATGTGATACGGTGAATAAGCGATGCTGTTAAAATGGAACAATGCCCCTTGGTTTTCACTTAAGAATATAAAATGAGATTAGCTAATATTACTCAAGGGTGATTTAGTTCAGCATTTTGTGCCACAAAATGGCTGACTAGATGCATCGACCAAGTCCACAAGCAGAATTTATTATAGCAAGATGATAAACGTTCAGACAAAAGCAGATTAAGTCTGAAAATTGTTTTAAAAGTTAAAGAATTATTGTTTCAAAATAGTAGTTGTGGATTAAAAAAATATCTAAAAAGTTAATAAAATAGTATCTGTTAGTAAAAATATGAATTACAAAAGTAAAAAAAATGCTACTTAATTTAGTTAGATGTTTAACATTATTAGTGGTTCTGTTTTAAAAGAAAAAGTTCTGAAGACTTGAGATATTAATGTTGCTAGTCAACATGGGGGATAGTCAGCAGGCAGGAGATAAGAGATCACTACCAGGTGATTTTCTGGGAACAGTCAAGGAGGAGGAAAGATGTTGCAGAGGTTGTTAGCTGATATTATCTTAGAAAGGCATGGAAAGGTTAAACAGTATGTAACTCGGTTTAGCTAACAGACTTACACTGCTGGCTAGGTGGCTGGTGTTCAAAACATGATTCATCGCAAGAGATTCAGACATATCAGTCACTGGCTTGTGAAGTTTCTTCAGATCGGCCTTATATTTAATCTGTTGGTAAAACAAAGGAAAATGTCATCAACCTTGTCACAGAAGGATGTAAAGCAGGCTTATAAATGGAATACATTTCAATGGCCGTATTACAGTTTGTGCTGGCATGCAATGAGCCAACAACACAAGCTGTAATAGTTTCTATGGAAACTTTCAGTCATTGAAGCCATAGTGGTTTCAAAGGTGCTTTTTAAAAAAATCAACTGGATTTTCTTCTTCTTTTTCTTGAAGAAGTTTCGCTTCTCATCTAAGAAGCTTCTTCATTTCAACTGAAGGCCATAAGTCAAAGGCTACCTGTACTCCTCAACTTACGACCACAATGAAACCCAACATTTTAGTTGCTAAGGCAAGACAGTTGTTAAGTTTGCCCCATTTTACAACCTTTCCTGCCACAATCATTAAGTGAATCACTGCAGTTAAGTTAGTAAAGTGGATTTGGCTTTTCCCATTGACTTTGCTTGTCAGAAAGCCGCAAAAGGTGATTACATGTCCTTCAGGACATTGCAGGCATCATAAATACACGCCAGTTGCCAAGCATCCAAATTTTTGACCTGTGACCACAGGGATACAGCCGTGATCATGTGAAAAAGGTCATAAGTCACTTTTTTCAGTGCCACGGTAACCTGGAACAGTCACTAAATGAAAGTTTGTAAATCAAAGATTATCTGTATTGTTGGAGTTTTTAAACTGTTTGTTTTCACCTCCGTTTGATCTGTTTATCTCTTTTATTTTCTCTGCAAATACTGCAAGGTTCTAACAAACCTCTCTCAAAGGAATCTAGATCTGGGGGCTCGGTTCTCCTCACCATACAAAGAAAAGCTAACGAACCAGACTTACCTCACTTGCGATGTGGTGAGCATCTTTCAAGGTCTTGTAGATCTTGCTCTCCTTCAGATCATATTGAGGCTTCTTTCCTTTTTCTTTATCAAACCTTTCTTTGTACTTGATCTGAGTTTGAGAAAACACACACACACACATATATATATTTTAAAAAGGGTCCTGAACTTTAGCATTTCTGGCACCAGGAAGGGAGAAGAGAAAGCATCTAGCCACAATCAGGTGATCAAAAGAAATCTGATTGCAAGCAAGCAGATCAAAGGATGCATCACACAGGAAAGACTTTGAAACAAAAGAGACAATTGGAAAGATCAAGATTTTTCAGTAGTAAGATTGATACATGCTACATTTCACAGGACGACATTTCTTCTTTCATTCAGTGGCTTATTTCAGCTCCACAAATCAAAAGATATCAAATTTATCCATTGCAAAAAAAATGGACAAGATGCTTGAGAAAGTGAGATGCTGCACAACTTCCTTTGTATTCTTATAACATGAGCTTTTGCCAGCCTCCAGTTGAGTGGTGCAGTATTCCATATATAGAATAGAATAGAATCCCCTTCCACTTGTGACTGTATGGCTGTAACTTTGTTGCTTGTATCCTTACGATTTATACTGACTGTTTCCTAGTATGATTCAATTGCTTATTGTACCCTATGACTGTTATTAAGTGTTGTACCTGATGATTCTTGACTCTTGACAAATGTATCTTTTCTTTTATGTACACTGAAAGCATTTGCACCAAGACAAATTCCTTGTGTGTTGAATCACACTTAGCCAATAAAGAATTCTATTCTATTCTATTTATGTAAAAGCAAACCTGTAGAATCCATGGTGCTCTCTGTGCATCTTCAGGGCTAAAAAGGAGTACGGTTTGCTCTCTGTTTATATACATTACAATTTCCCTTCTAATATTGAAGGTGTTACCTAGTTGGGTAATAGAAATGTCTGCAAGCAATCAACCAAGCTCAGATAGCACCAAATATCCTCTTCTATTGGTAAAGCTACACTTTTACTTTGAAAATATCAAAGTACATTTTACATCAGATTATGATAAATAATTATCAATAAAATAAGATAATACCTTTCCTAAGATTTCTCATTATTTACCATCTACCCTATTATCCCACCAAGAACGTTTGTACCTGGTGTAGTTGATGCCCAAATTATTGTTTTTAAGAGAAGTGGTAGCCTTTTAAAGAGTTTTTAAAAAGCAGCTGAAAATAAAAGTTCTGCTGAGATGCTTTTTCTTATTAAATTTAAAAAAACTTATCTGAACCCACTGATGAATAGTCTGCTTCTAATCATGTAAATAATTCAGCCAGCTTCCTTTCATCCCAATATAATTATATTCAACTCATCTTTTTTTTAGTGGAACTTGCATATTGTATTTATATTACATAATATTATACTTACATTAAATAATATAACTTTCTAGATAAACAAGGTCCTTATTCCTAAATGTTTTAGTACTATTATTATTATTAAACAAAGTCATAAAAGAGAGGAAATACATTAGCTGTTTAGTAGACAAGAAGTCACAAATTATAAAAATAATGGCATTATCTGGCCAAAACTAAGGACATTTTCAGTTTATTTAGATTGTAGAGTTTAAACATAAAGTAAATGGACAAAACTCTTAAAAGATGGGCATAACTTTGTCTGCAAGAGCTGATTGACATTACTGATGAAAGGAATTGATCATGCTAGGAAGCAACACATATCACTATAAAGAAGTAAATGCGGTCTATCATCAGAAAAATCAAAGATGCCATAATCTACTTTCAATCCACATTCCATGATTTTTTATTTCTAAAACATGGATATGTTCTTATCCACGCAATTCTGTATCCATCATGCTGGATAATTTCATTTTTAAACTAGACTGATAAAAATGCTGGTGACATTCAGTTAATATCCTTCTGGTTAGATTTCCTTGAGAAACATACACAGAATCACATATGAACTGATGCATTTGAGAGGAACAATGACATTTTCACAATGACAAATCTGACACATGACTAGGGAAAGCTTTTAACAACATCCAATGATGTGAACTTTGGCTAAGGATTTCCAATTCTATGTTTTCTATCCACAAACGGACAACACAGGATACAGACAAACAACCATAACAACAACATAAGAAATGACATGCAGATTAACCATAACAGTGATGGAATTGGTGACATGATAGACAGTATAGATGACAAATAATCCTTTGAAAGATTATATGTTGAACTTCTGCACAGTCAGAAGCATAGAAACATCCACACAAACAAATGATGTATCATATGAACACCTATAAATCTGACAAGAGTATTGGATTTTTTTCCAAGAAAAGATTATTGGTCCCTTTAACTTTCCAAGAGTCAGCAGTTGCTTTTTCTTCAATAAAAGATTAAATAGAACAGCTTAATAAGTGGAATAGTTTATTATTACAAAGAGGATGGATTATCACCATTCTGTACAAACAACTGATTTTTGTCACAAGCACAGAAGAATGTCTGTAACTGCATGCAACATAAAGAAAGAAAAGCAAGAAAGGAAACATCTCCCTTTTTTTCCTTATGTCCAAAAGTCCTCTTCAATTTATGTCCTTCCTAAGGTATAGGCCTACAATTCCCATCATCCTTCACCACTGGTCATGCTGGCTGGGGCTGACAGTACTTGGAAGCCACCTCAATGGAAGGAGTCAATTTGGAGAAGGCAGATAGTAAGAGAGTCTTTCTTAAGAGGGACTGGGAAAATAAACAGGAAATACTTGACATCAAGTAGCAGCAATAAGAAATTAGTCAAGATCTAATTTTGGCTTAATTTTCCAGAAGCCTTTCTTCAAAACTCAATGTTTTGTATAGCCTGGTTGAAGACAATAAGGTGAGATCACTATTGGGAATACTTGCTCATTGTCTCACTTCGGTCTCCATAGTGAATGAATGACCATTTTTTTTTAGTGCGTATGTTTTAGTTAAAGCGCAACAACATTCATTAGACCAGTCTTGCATTTTAAGTGCACTTCACTGTACCTTCTAAAATTATTAGATTTGAACAAATATTTAATCTCCATTTCAACACTGAACTCTCAGGAGAAATTTTACATAAGAAAGAAAAGGGAGATTTTAAAAAAAAATTAAACTTCATGAGACTTTGATTTAAAAAAATAAAAAAGAGCATCCCATTGGCAATCCAGGCTCAATTTTATGTGCCAAGAACATTTTGCAAAATTCATAAAATGGAAAAAGCTGAAAAGTACAGGCACTTTAAATCCTTCTTACATGACTACTTAGGGTATTAGCTTTTTTAAAATGCCTCATCATGGGTGTATCATACGATGCTGCCCCATGGCCCCTCAAGTATCCTTTAATGTATTTGACCTACAAAGCATAGCAAGATAGCAAGATTAGGTTAGCCAACCTCCAATGACACAAAGCAAAGAGCAAAGAGCATCGTCCATTCTTTCTCTTGATGGAGATGTCTCATAGAAGCAGCATGATTTGGAAGTTCCGCTTTTGTTCAAAGTTTGATGGAGGACAAACAGGTTGATGTTAATTAATAACAACACTAAAATATAAGGTACCCAAATTATTGAAAATAAATCACGTATACAAGCAGTAAAACACAGTTTCAGCAAAGTAGAAATATCCAAGTATTATGCTAGAAAAATCTTTGAGTATAAGTATGTAAGTTTCCAAGCAAATATATTGTCAGAAATAGCAAATATATGGTGAATGCAAATAAGACAAATGCATTAAAACATTTATTGCCCCCAAAATTGTAGAGCTGGTAGCTATTGCTTTAAAATCCTGTACTGGTAATATATGGCATACCAAATTTATTTAACAGAAAGTTGAGGGGCATAATAATTACCTCTAAATGGGTTGTATAGTATGTTTGTGGGTCATGTATTTACTGAGAATAGAAAATGCAGTTGACGATGAATAAAGGAGCTGCTTCTTGATGAATTTAACTCTTTTTTAATATCTAAACCAGTGTTTTTCAAGCTTGATGACTTTAAGATATCTGGACTTCAACTCCCAAAGTTCCTCAGCCAGCATGCTGATTGAGGAATTCTGGGAGTTGAAGTCCAAACATCTTTTTTTTTTTTTGATAATTTTATTTGGGTTTTCACAAAAACAAAATACAAATAAAACATCTTTTTTGAAAATAGCATGGTCCCAGATTATCACTTCTTCATACAGACACAAAACTCAACTTCATGCTCATTTTTATATTCTATTCCATATCTTATTACCATTTTATATTTTCTACATAGTTTTTCCCCTCTTCTAATTTTCTCAACTTTGTTTTAATTAGCTCAGTTCAAATCATTATATTTATACTTTTGTCTGTCCTGTTACAATTTCACATTATCTTTTCTTATTAAGCAAATTTTTCCCTGTAGTTACCAATTAGAGTATGACACCTTTATATCCTTTAATTTTATCCATTCAAGCTCTTATTTAAGCTTCAATGTATAGCTTTAAGATTATAGCATTCAATATAATACATAACTTCCAATCGAATTCTGCTTGGTACATTCTTAAAATAGACACTATATTCTTAAAAAGAAAAAATTATATATATATATATAT